GGTGGCCCTAGCTGTTCTGCTGCCTGGATGCGTACAAAGTCTTACCCAACTTGTGAGGGTTAGCGGGCACGTCTCCTCCTAACTCAGGCAGTAGCTGCTTCAGGTAGTGCGTGTGAGACGGTGTGCAAGGCTGATTATCTCCCACTGTAAAGCTGTGACTGCAGCTGGCATTTCCTTGCTTTAAAGCATTGATTTCCAAAGGTCAGGGTTCACTCTCAGAAGCCATGGGCCAGCCTGCTGCAGCCAGGAATTGATCCCGTACAGTTGCACAGAAGTTAGGAGTCTGTAGATTTTTACTACAGTTTTGCAGATACTTATACTTACTTGTGGCTTACCAAGTTTTGAAGTGGATCGTATCGCACTTTCGGCAATTACTGCTCTAAATGTTGCTTTTTTTAAACTAGCCGCTATCTTTGGCTTTTTACAAAATGTGAAATAATGTTTTACTGCTTTCTATCTGAAGTTGTGTATTAAGGTTGTATGAAACCATAAATGACTTTGAAAAAGGAAAATAATTCCTTTGTGACAAGCTTGAGTATAATTTGAGTGAATTTAAAATCCGGTATTTACAGTGGGTTTGAATACTCCCATTTTTTAAGTTATATAAAATACCACATACAGTATATGAAGCATGTATGAATAGTTGGACTGCTTCTGGACAAACCCAGTTATTTTATGACGCTGCAGGTTGCAGGCCCTGCACGTGTGGCATGCTACTGTGGGTTGTGTAGCACGGTGATTAAAAATCCAGGCTGGTGAGGACCGCGGGAGGTTATCTGGCCCTGCCCCCTGCTGTAAGCACAACTGGCTTCACAGTTAGGACAGGCTGGTCAGGGCCATTTGAGAATTTCCAAAAAGAGAGGGTGGTGATTCCACCCTCTTGCTTCAGCACTCTTGTTTGTGAACTTCTTTTTCCTTCTATCCAGTTGGGCTGTTCTGTGTCGCGTGTGTTGTCTCTTGCCTCGTGTCTTGCTGCGCGTTGGTGAGAAGAGGCTGGCTCTGCTTGCCTTAGCACCACTTTTAGCTGGTGGCAGACGGCAGGTAGCGCCTCAGTTAGCTTTCTGTTGTCCAGGCCAAAGAAATGGAGTTCCCTCAGACTCGGTGTCATGTGCCTGCAGGATTTTGTTGGCACCCTGCTGGACTCTTCCAAGTTTCTTTGTATTTCTTCGGGGGTGAGGGTGGAGTGGGGGTGTGTGTGTGCCGCAAAACTGGACACAGTATTTCAGGGTGGAGCTCACAAGTGCTGAATAGAGGGGAGTTATGGCTTCTGTTGACCTGCTACCTGCACTGCAGCTAACGTGAGAGGGGTGGCTGTGTTAACTGTACGTCCGTAGCTACCGTCCGACAAGCGCTTTACACTGGCTGAAGCACTGCTGCCTTCCCCCGTGCTTAACTGCCAGCTCCCTCATTCCCATCCCCTCTCCTGTGTTGGCACTAGTGCCCTTGTAGCCCCATGGCAAGCCAGAACCGAATCAAGAAGCTAATCCAAGTTGAAGCGGATTAATGCATTTTGTCAGATGAATTTTTGGTTCCAGCCGACTGTTCAAAGCCTTGAGCTGACTCGGGGAAAGTGGATGAGAGGGCGCAGGGCTGCGCTCTGCCTCTTGCTGGTCTGTGCTCTGTTGTAGGTGGGAGTGTTGAAAGGAAGGCAGGGGCTTAAAGGCTGAGTTACAGCAGTCCCCCAGAGGCCTGGCTTGTGTAGCTGGGATTTCCTTGTCAGTTTTATGACTTTTACCTTTTCCTATGTTCTGTTCGGGAACATGCGATAAAAGGCACTCTGGTTATTTCCCGAAAGGGATAGGCAGCGCTGCTGCCACAAGGACACGTGACACACGTTGAAGTATATACTGGGTTCACTGGTGCAGTAACAGGGCTGTGAAATAAAATGGTAGAGGCTTTGCTAATAATAAGTTACAGGGAATATTTGTGCTGGATTGTGGCTAATTAGTAAAGATTGCCCTTTGTAAATTAGATGGATGTACCAGCAGGGCTGAGTTTGGCCTACTTAGGATAAACTGATTTTTTTGTGTGTTTTTTTTTTTTTTTAAATATTTTTTTAAAAAGGCACCATAGAACAGTATTGATGGTAATTAGATATTTGCTAGGCTACATTGTAACAGCTCTCCAGCAGGTTGTGTGAATCTTCCCAGTGTGTATTTTCCCCCAGGTGTGTCTGTCGTGGGCTCTTGTCTGGCCCTGGTGCACTGATGGGTCTCAAGGGCCCGTACGAGCCTCGTCTGGAGCGCCTCCACCCACACCCTTTGCCCAGGGGCAACTGATCCAAATACAGGAACAAGTTAATTTCAAGAGTCTAGGCCAGTTGTCTCCAAATGTTTTTGATCACACACCCCTATCGGTAGAAGTTTTTTGAGCATGACCCCCCCAATATATGTATATTTATTTACAAATTACATGCATGTACTGCTGAAGTTCTAGTGTCTTCTTCCTGTCCCCCAGTGGCTTGCTTGCACACCCACTGGGGTGCACACACCCCACTTTGGAGACCAGTGGTCTAGGCTACGTAACTAATCCTCTAATTCCACTCATTGTGTCGAGTTTTATTTTCAAACTGTCCTGGCTTAATAGGGTTTGTACCCATTTCATATATCGGTCGTTGATTTGGCCCACTATATGTTAACAAACACCCAGGAGGACAGAATTTGTATAAAGCGAACTTTTCTACCATTTGTGCTATAGAAAATTTCACAGGATAGGCTTGCGTCTATTAACATGCTTCTAAATGATCATCTATGTCAAGGTCATGTGTTGCTGAAGGTGCCCTCTTTTCGAAGTAGACTGAACGAGTAGTTGCTTTTGGGTGTGCAAGGACTTGGTCTGATTGTGCACTTCTTCTGTTGCTGTCCTGAAGTTAACAGGATGCTAATCCTCATTGAAAATCTGCATCAGTTAAACAGATCAAAACCTGAAGTTACGTGGTTATGTAGATCTTGGTTGTATGTGGCAAAATAGGAACAGAATTTAGTCTAAATGGGTAGGATTGTGGCTTGGTTGTGATCTTGATTGTTTCACAGACCGCATACCCCGATGTGTGCTGTTCAAATTGTGTGTTGGTCCTGTGGTATTTCACAAAAGCACTGCCACGCAGCATCGCATTAGTGTAGCGTTACCTAGCCATTGTCTGTGGGGAAATTGAGATGGTAGCGACCTCTCTGTGCTTTATTTGCAGTTTCAAGGTGTGGGAGCATGCAGCCCCCTAGGCTGTGAACGCTGGTCAGAACAACTTCTGATGGTAGCAAGAGTTGTGTATGATAGGTGCGTTTGTGGCTCTGTGACGGTACATTCATCAGCTGCATAAAAACTTGGTAATGGTTTCATACAGATTAGCTCTTTGCTAAACCAGAATTTTTAAAAAAAAAAAAATATGACATATTTCTTTTTCATGTGTGAGTAGAATTCTGCTAGTGATGACAAGAATGTTGTTAAAGCTTGTTAGGAGGATGCTCTTCCGGAGGGGACTGGTTGCAATACTTGGTGTTTGTACAAAATGTAGCTGTTTTCTTTGGGGTTTATTTCTGTTGTAAACTGGTAGGAGTTTACAGTACGTTGGATAAAATTTTCTTGTGTCATATTTGTGAAATGAGGAAAACCAATAAATTATTTTTTCTAATAAAGCCAGCTGCATGTTCAGCTAAAGGGCTGAATAGCGAAGAATATGTATTTTCTCACATTGTTGGTTTCATGCATTTTATTTTCCTTCTTACAGTTACATGCAGGTTTTCAAGAGTTTAGTGAACTTCTATCAATTATGTCTAATTTGCGTTAGTAGTTTTAATACCCACAGGAGTACTGATGGAACAAAGCTCTATGTGGTTGCTTTCCATAATGTTGAACCCTTTTGTAGTATAGTCACAATGAATATTTGGTTTGGTAAAGTGAAGATATTTTATATTATTTTATTTAAATAACGGTGTCAGTATTGCCATATGGGATGGGATTTTCAAAAGTAGATGTGCTGTGTGAAGATCCTCTTGACTTCTGATAGAGCTGGTTTTTACTTTTGGTTAGATAGGGGTCTTTGAAGCCTTGCTCTTGAGAGATGGATGTGCTGCTTAGCTGTTAGAGGAAGTAACAGCTTTCTGTATGTAGTACTAACAGTGCAGTTAAAGCAGAATGCTAATCACTTAATGCTAATCGCTTATTAATTTGCACATTTACATTTGAATTTTGTGATGACATAAATTGTCATGTTATTTGCTTAGCATTAAATGGGAAGATCAGTGCTTGTGCTGGTGGCTGTGCACAACAGTGAGCAGATGTAGTACTGAATCATGGGAGAAATTATTTTTCTTAGGATGCATAATCACCTCATGAACGCGGATCTTGTTGACGTTTGAGGTAGTTCTCAGTAGCTGTGCTTCATTTTCCTGTTCTCCCAGAGAGGTGATACTGAGGGATCCTTACAGCGATGTATGCTCTGGTTCTGCATCACCCTTGCTTGTAAGCTAAAGCTTGAAGAAAAGCTTGATTGAAGAAAAAGTGTGAATGAGGCTATGCAGTATAGAGGACAGGATATTCTCTGCCTGTCTAAAGTATAAACCAGTTTCAGAATCAATGGGGTATAGAAAAAAGTTAGGAAAGAGGTTATGGAATCACAGGACAGCTGAGGTGGCATGGGATGGCGGGAGATCACCTCATCTGTCGTCCTGCTCGCAGCCGGCTCAGCCAGAGCAGGCTGCTTGGGGCTGTGGTCCAGCTGGGTTCTGGGTATCTCCAAGGATGGAGACTCCATAACTTCGCAGGAAAACCTGTGCTGGTATTTCACTACCTTTTAAAAAGAAATTTTTTTTTCTTATGTTTATGTAGATTCTTTGTTGTTGTTTTTGTTGTTTCAAATTGTGCCCCTTGCCTCTTGTTCATTCACTGCATACCAGTGAGAAGAGTGTGGTTCAGTCTTCTTTACACCCTCCCACCAGATCTTCATGCACATGGATAAGATTCCCCCATAGCTTTCTGTTCCCCAGGTGGACCAGTCCTGGTGTTCTCAGCCTCTTGTATAACAGATGCTCCAGTCCCTTCATCGTCTTAATCATTATGGAGATCTGTATGAGGGAGAGCCTGAAGAATGATTCCCGTGAATCTGGTCAGGGAGAGTAAGTTTCTGTTTGGCAAGAAGTGAGAGAGAGAGCAAAAGGAATTAAAACCAGAACTATATTAATAAATGTGAGTAATAAGTATGATAGCAGACTTCTAAAGGGAAGTTGAGGAAAAAACCAAGCATGGAATGCATAGTGATCAATCTGATGTGATTAGAAGAGACTCTGAAGAGACTGTGAAGATGAGATTGGATAACTAAATGGAAGCCAGGGTTCCAAGAGGTTTAGGAAATGCTAGCATCACTTGATAATTGAACTGGTGGATTATTAGATGGGATCTTCACAGAGAGAATAAGGAAGGATAAAATGGTCCTAAGAGTTACTGACAGGGAAAAGGGAGAAGGTGCATTCTCAGATGACATTCAGAGAGTTACGGTGAACAGGAGAACCAGGATATGCAGACAGAAGCTTTGAAGGAACAGCAATCGGAGTAAAGAGTGATGGAATGTGTTAGGTACAGGCGGCACCCAGCAGAGTAGACACTGTGTTAAGACAGTTGGTTGGCATGGTATTGTGAGGCTAAAATTGCTTTGCGCCCAATGAATGGATGCTTACGTTCAGTTTGGCTAATGTAAGTGAGTTCCCCACCCGATGCTAAAAGGGTTGTCAAAACTCCGTACTATTAATCACAAGTTTGTTTTCCACTTCTGAGTGTTGTTGAGGAGAAACTGGAAGTGGCCACAGTGTCACTCACTAGCAATAGCTAAGAAAAGTCTGCTGGAAAATAGTGTTCTTTTTTAATGCTTTGTAATGTCTTGGCTATAGTTTTGGTTCTAGCCTATAACAGTGCTGTCATGATACTGACCTAAATTTATTTACCTTTTTGGCTGGTGAGTATTATAGCCACTAATCTGTAACAGTCTTTGTAGGTGCTGTAGTGTTCAGTTACTCCATCTTTGGGATTAGCTGGGAGTAAATTCCTATAGAAGCATTTTAATTGGAGTCTTGAGATTGCATTCAGTGTTGATTTTTTTTTTTTTTTTTAACTACTTCAAGTCATGGAAGTTCTGTTTAATCAGTTTGGTTAATGACTTGTCTTTCGTCAATTTTGAATTCTAAAAAAACCCCTAAATGATAAAACATTGCATGGGGTTTTGTGTAGCATTGCATGTGACTGAATTTGATTTTGTGATGAATCAGTGGACCTCTGTAGAAAGTGCAGGTTTATTTAACAACTTTGCCAATAGTAGACATCTGTCAACTTCATGTTTAATAAAAATACCGAGATGTTCTAAGTTGGTTTTATTGTTGAAAGCCATCTTTTGTCTTGCACGTATCAAATACCCACCCTCTCCCTTTTTGTTGTAGTTGTCATGGATGATGACGACGATGAATCCTGTCTCCTTGATCTTATTGGGTAAGTTTTCCTTAAACGATTCTTTCAGAAAATTGGGAAAAATAACTTTGCAAAACCATCTTCTAGAAGGCAATTCTATCTCACTCTTACCTCAAGATGCGGTGACTTGCAAATGAAATGAGTAGCTTCCTCCCTTTGGAGAGATGTGTGTATCACAAAGCCTTCAATCCCAGTGTATGCTAGCTGACAGTCCACTGCTGGCATTCTCCTCAAGGGAGGCTGAGAAATGAGTGTGCGTGGAGGTTGGACTCTCTTCTCAGCTAGTGGTCATATCAGGTCAGTGTTGAGGCATGTTACTGGGGATGTTGCAAACTTCATTGCAAAGGACTGGTTTTTTTGGATTAAAAATGTAAAGATCTCAATTTTTTTTGAGTAGTGGAACTAGATGCTTAGTGCTATGCTTGTATTTTAAAGCGAAAAGTGAAATGACTCCTTTCTTAATTGTACGTACTTAATTTCTACTAATAACATGTATTTGCATAAAAACTTAGAAGAACAGAATTGCTACCCAGTACTATTAAGTATTCACAAGAAACAAGAATTTATCAGCATTTTGCTCAGATACTCTATTTTTACTAAAAATGGGGATTTTAAACGGTCCTTTTTTTATTATTATTCCATAACAGCTTTTTTTTTGAGTTTTATAATTCCATATGGTAATCTTAAAAAATAATTAGGCTAGCTGAAGCATGAGCAGGATTTTAGTGGATTGTATCTGTGACAAGTTACTTTCCTTTGGCTAACATTCATGTCAGTATTCCAGAACAGATAATGTGCTATAATGCATTTAAAACATCATAAGAAAATTGAACATTTCATACATGATACTATGATCAAACTCTGCCAGAAATTAGCATGACATCAGTCTCATAGCTGCTACTAAAAGATCGTCTCTGCTTCATAGAAGATTTTACTGTCTTAAATGTAGTAAATAAATAGGCCTTTTACCTTTCTCATGTGCTCAAAGCTTCCAGCGAAACCAGTGAGAGCTTTAACTAAAGAAAAAAACAGAATATCACCACAGTGGCTGCTGTAATTTGGGGGTTACTCGGTGGATCCTATAGCAAAAGCATTGCCAGTAATGGCTCACTGTTATGTTCTGTGAAGTATACTGTGCAAGATTACTGATTGTAGCCTTATGAAAACACATCCTGCTTGAAACATAAAGATGATAATTGACTGCATGGGATACTTAAATGCTCTGTCATGAACATGAATCACGAGCATCCTGGTACAAGTTCACAGGTGGTCCAGAAAATGAAGTGCTCTCTATACAGATGAGTGTTTGCGTGAAAAATTACAGTGTTGTTCTTGCTGCTGGCAGCAATTACTGTCTTAACCATCTAGAAGAATGGAAAACAGCTTTTTTTTTCCCCATCTGATCTTTGATTTCGGTAAGTGCCTTCTAAAATTCCTTCCTTGCTAAAGACAATATTTAAGGTGGTGAAGTGTTCTTAAGTTTTAATTGCATTTTTCATAATTTAAAGCCAGTGAGTGTAATTAGTATTAAACAACCTGGTTATTTATTAATAAAACTTGTAAGCATGATAGAGTCCTGTATGAGATCATAAATTCTAGTCTACTTAATTCTTTAAATTTAGTGTAATCTACTATGAAAATGACATTTTCATTTGAAAATATGTGTAACCGCTTCTATGTTGTAAGCATAGCTGTACCATAATGTCCCTGCCAAGTATTGTCTAACACATTTTTTGTAAACACATGAATGCAGTTTGGGGTTTTTTTTTAATGAAAAAAGAGGAATAGAGGTCTATTTGTGCTTTTAGAAGGCTAGTTGTAAACCTGAAAGATCTTTAACTTGTTCCCTCTTTATTTTCTAGGATGATCAAGAGAGAAGGAGAGATGTTTTGAATTACTATTTTTTACATGAGAATCTCCTGCTTCTCCAAAATGTTTTATTATTACTTGTTACTCAATAAAGATGTTTGAAAATCAAAGTACGCCATGTCATTTTACTCTTCATGCTAATGGACATGTTGGAAAGTGCTGTATAATTGTTGTATTAAAATAATCCCATGTAACACAACCTTTTAATGTTTTTTACTTGGTCTGTACCTGCAGTTACATTAATGTATTTTTGATTTGTTTGAATTTCCAACACTGTACCTGCAGTTACATTAATGTATTTTTGATTTGTTTGAATTTCCAACACTCATTCTGTAAGACCACATTTTTAATCTGAGTTTTATTCAGTGATAGTGCTAAGTTAATTAAATATACTGAAATGATATTTCGTAATATTTAGTCAGTTATTTCTGTGGCTGATTTCACTTGGAAAAGGTGGTGTTTTTTCTCCAAGCGAAGGGACTGTTACTCTGGCAAGCATAAGTTTTTGTTAACTTATGTTAAGGGTGGCAGAAAACATGTTAAAGATTCAGGTGTGTCAATAGGGTGTTTTTGTTAACTTCTGTTAAGGGTGGTGGGAAACATGTTAAAGATCCAGGTTTGTAAATACCCTATTGACTTTGACTCTAGCTAAACAGGCATTATAGTTTGTCTCTGTCGAAGAGACAGTACCTGTTGTAGTTCTGCATGTTATTCGGTGGTAGTAATTTTCCTTAGGTTTTGAACTATGTGCTGTCATAAAATACTGTGTGTTTTGAGAGAATAGGAGTAATACCCTCATAAAGGGAAGTAAAGTAGAATGCAAGTAAAATTTTGTGATTAACCTACTTGATTGCTTGAAATGCCTTGGTACAGTGACCGCAAACATGATCAACATCTGAAAATTTGCTGATACAGAAGCACAGATCCTCAGATGGTATAAACTTTCAGCTGTGTATTGGCATCAGTGAAATAAATGTGGTTTTACTATAAACCCAATTTATATGAATACAGTAGCTGGCTTAGGTAAATTAGCCTCATTAACTAGCAGAAAGAGCTTCCTAAAAGTGGTAACTTTTTCTTTTTTCCCCCCTTAAGGGACCCACAGGCGCTGAATTATTTTCTACATGGACCTAGTAGTAAATCTGTAAGTAGCATTCCTGTGTATTAGACATACATAAGCTTCATTGAGTGTATTATTTCTAAACATGATTTTTGTCTTTTACCAGAGCAATGAAGACTTGACTAACGCAGAATATTCTGTAGCCAACTCAAATTCAATTTTCGCCAACTCCAATGTAAGTGATCAGGAGATAAATCATGTTTGTATTGAGGTTGCATGCTCCTGTTTTGGCTTTACTTGGCTTTCATAAAACTGAATGAAGTAGATATGGGGTTTGACCTTTTTTATGTGAAAATTCTGAATGCTAACATAGAACCATTTCATGTTGTTAATATTCTAAGTATTTCATTGGGTTTTCAGTGGGGAGTTAATCAAAAGATACTGCACTGTTGGTCTGTGTTTCGTAAATGTGTAAAACAGCTTGCTGAGCAGTGAAAATAGTCTCGCGTGTAACTCTCTCCAATAAACTGGACTTGTGATTTTAGTGATGGTAGAAGTAGTAGTGCTCAAATGTAGACCTTAAAAATTAGTCATTCATACGTTTCCTCTGTATGTCAGGATGATTTTGTTTCCTACTTCTAAGTAGAATCTGAGCTGGCAATTTTTTTAAATTACTGAATGGGGTTTTTTTGTTCTGTAGACTGAATAGCTGGCTTGGTATATTTCCCTCCTGTAACTTCAGTGTTAGGGAAGTCCCTTTAAATTCATTAGGTGTTGCAAGTGGTCTTCAGTATCCTTTCTTCGCCTGGAGTCTACTGCAGCCCTGGACCAAGTTTTACCCAATGAGGTTGTGCAATCCCTATCCTTAGAGATAAAGCCAAGGCTGTTCTGCTCTAGTACTGGCAATAGTCCTGCTTTGAGTGGAAGGCTGGACTAGATGACTTCCAGAGATCCCTTCTGACCCACATTTCTTTGATTTCATTGGTGTGTTTTTTAAAAAAAAAACTGAATTCTTCATCCCACCATTCTGTTATTTGAATATGTAGAGTAGGGTTTCCTTGGTAAATCCTCTTCGTGTTGTACTGTTGCCATGACTCTGTTTGTCTCACGTTCCTAACAGATATGTGGATGTACTTGTCGGTGTGTAGGGACCTTAAATAATTGCCATAAATAAATCCTGAAAACTGGTTATGTGTAGAGAACTAGTGACTTTTCTGTAGCCACAGTAGTGTGACGTGAAGTGTTTGCCCTGTCCTTCCCCTTTCAATAGCATTATTAAATATTGTGGAAGAAACATGCTGAGTGACAGTTCTTTCTCCCGATAAGCTGGTTGACATAATGGTGGGGCAGTGGGGTACCAGCAGTAATAGGGTGTGCCCAATTTTCAGCTAATCAGTAACAGTGGTTTCAACTTGGCACCAGACTAGCCATTAATGGACAGCAGCTTCCTGTTTGCAGCATGGCAGAGGTGGGTTTTGAGGACTAAGAAAAATGAGGTTATGGGGAAAAAAAGGGTAACATATGACATGAATTTGTCATAGCCTAGACTTCCTAGTTGTTCTTTGTAGAGATTCTTCTGATAAGCATGAGTAGGTAGGCAGGATTCAGGGGTGTATTTCTGGTAAATTTTCAGAAAGTGAGTTTTTGGAGTAATTTCGAGAGGGAGTGGGAGATTCTGGGCAAGGTGGGGTGGTTGTATAGGGAGTAGCAGTATGAAGAAGCAAAAATGCTTGGTGAAAACCAAAAGAGCTTTTTGGTATATGAGATTGGGGGGGTTGGTAATCAAGAAGGCAGGTGATCAGAGGACCAGGGATTTCTAGTGTGTGTTCCTAGGGATGGCTTACTGTATTTCCATTCTCCAGCACTTGTTCCTCTTGTGCTTTGTTCTTATCCTTTTGTATCTTCATAATGAATACCAATGCCATCTTCTCTTCCCTCCCTCCCTTGTGTGAAAGCCCTGTGCTGACCTAAGTAAAGAACAACTTGATTGCAAAGATAGATTCTTACAGTGCATTGTGAAGGAACAAGAGATATCTAAAATATAAATAGATGGTTTCACAGTCCCTACTTACAAAGTAAGATACCTGAAAAGTTAAAGGCTTCTGAGATTCTTGTCATTACAATTTTTGCAGATACTGAATGTTCTGTCTTTGTATGTATTCAGAATTGCTACCATGAAGTAGGTTGAATGTCTTGATACCCGCCCTCATGCCTTTCAGTGGCAGAGTTTACAAATTCAGTGTCAAGGGCTCAGTGCCTCAGCTGGTAAGCATGCTCGGCCAACACCTAACACAAACAAGACTAAGTTCCTGCTAACTGAAGGACAGCAAAGCGGTGTCCCCTCTTTCCCCCACCACCCCAAATTGAATGATTGCATACCACCTCTACTGATTCCTGGTTGGTTTCCTTGGGCTGTCGTCGGTCTCTGTTACAACTCTCGTGAGATGGTTCCATAGCCATTGCTTTATTACCTGGGTTGTACTCAGGGACTGCTTACACCTTCCTGCTACAGTATAGTAGAACAGCTTAAGAGAGCAGAATGTTAATGGAGCCAGCGAGAATACGACTCTTGTTGGTAAGCAGATTCATGAAGTTGCAGAGGCACTAATTGTTGAAATTAGTATGGTGTTCTGCATGGCTGTTCTGAATCTAGGCAGCAGTCATTCAGTCGTTAACTTCGAAGGTCCCTGGTTCCAGTTTATGCACATAAAATTGGTTTTGGATGTTAAACAGTCCTGGGAGCAGGGAATGGAACTTGGGATTCTTCGTTCCAGTGGGAGAGTTTCAAGCTATTAATCTTGATTGCATGTAGTAGTATTTATTATTACTATTGTTAGTAGTAATAGTTGTACTGTTAGTACTAACTGGAGCCCTCAAGTTACACAGTCGTGAAAGATTTCAGATTAGTCATTGTCACTGGAGACAAGTTACAGATGCAGTAGGGAATTCTCCACAATAACCTGACAGTTATGACTCCTAGTAATGCCCTAGTTAGTGACTCCCCTTTGGTCCTAGGTACAGTTGATAACCTGATTTGTCATTTTAGGTGTTCATGAGATGCAGACATCAAGACATTTAAGTACTACTTTAATTCCTTCTGTTAACATTAAATGTAAAAAACTTACTGTAATTTTATAATTGTATTTTGCAAATATTTTACTGAATTTTAAGACCAATCTCTTAATATTTTAAAATATGACTGATGTTTCATAAATGACACAGGCTGATTCAGAAACAGATTGAATTGGGGAACTGAAGTTAGGGCGGGGCCATTATTGCTTGTGATAATTACGGCTTGCAGCATCTTCACACTGTTCATATGCGGTGAAAACAAGCATCTATGACCTTCAAGGAGTGAAGGCTCGGAGTATGAAGGTGACTGATAATGTCACACCCACATGTTGCATTTATCCTGACCTAAAAAGAAACTGGATGTTGTCTTTGAATAGTTGAGATATTTGGCAATTTAGGAAGGTGTATTCTGTCTAACTTGAAACTATTGCAAGTATTATTATGCATTTAAATTTGTCATTCCACCTGTAGAAACCTGATACTTGTGTTACGTAGAATTTCTGGACATAGTTTTGTTTTAGGAAGATCTTACTGACATTAGGCCAGAGTAAAGTAGGTTCTGATTTTCCTTATCACAGGATTTATGGATGTAGGTTTGAAGAATTTTTTCATTCAAGGTGACACTTAATATTTGGTGCCATTTCAATGGTTATAGTTCTCTGTAATCTTTTTGCTAGCATAAACCACAAAGTCTGTAGCATTGTTTTTCTTACTGCTTTGTTTCTAAAATTTTTCTAAACAAAGAATTAGTGTAATTCCTTAACCTTATGAAACGGTCACTAGTTTGTGACTATAGAAATAGTGGTAGGTTTTTGGAGGTGGATCTCATTTGATTGAGGAAGTCAGTGAAGGAGCAGCTTTCTCCTGCCTTTTCCCTGCTACTGCTGTTGCTACTGAAACCTTCCCTCAAACTGAGTTAGAGTAGAGGTGTTTTCCGTCCTCCTTTCTTTTATCCTTTTGCCCATACAGTGCTCAGCTTGAGGAAGGGAAAATGGGACTTCAAGAGCGTGTCACATCCTCTTGAAACAGTGCAGCTGCGGAGCTGAGTGCTGTGGAATTGGGAGATTTGAGAAGTGAAAGGATGAGTAGTGTCTCCAGCAGTCTGTTACGAGGGCACGAGTGGGATGTGACGCACATGTTTATGCTGGCCCACTGTATGGGATGAATGTTGCCTTATATATGTACTGTGCAAAGAATATAATTTTGTAAAGAAAGTTTGCTTGCATGAAAAAAGGCTTAATGGGGAACCAGGTAGAGCTTGGAATTTCTGAAAATGATTTATTTCTGGTTTTGCATTTCAGAACACTGATCCTAAGTCGTCTGTAAAAGGTGTAAGTGGTCAGCTTGGAGAGGGGCCCAGTGATGGACTGCAGCTGTCCAGTAGCCTTCAGTTCCTTGAAGATGAACTTGTATCTTCTCCTTTACCTGATCTTACTGAGGATCAGCCTTTTGATATTCTTCAGAAGTCCTTGCAGGAGGCCAATATTACTGAACAGACTTTGGCAGAAGAGGCATATTTGGATGCCAGTGTAGGTTCTAGCCAACAGTTTGCACAAGCTCAGCTTCATCCTTCTTCATCAGCATCCTTTACTCAGGCTTCTAATGTTTCTAATTACTCAGGTCAGACGTTGCAACCTATAGGAGTTACTCAAGTGGTACAGCAACCTGTTGGAGCATCTTTTGCAAGCAATACAGTCGGTGTGCAACATGGCTTTATGCAACATGTCGGAATTAGTGTTCCCAGCCAGCATTTGTCTAATAGCAGCCAGATTAGTGGTTCTGGGCAGATACAGCTAATTGGTTCATTTAGTAATCAGCCTTCCATGATGACCATTAATAACCTTGATGGATCTCAGATAATACTGAAAGGCAATGGTCAACAAACACCTGCAAACATGAGTAGTGGCCTCTTGGTTCATAGACAAACGCCAAATGGTAACTCACTGTTTGGTAACTCAAACTCAAGTCCAGTAGCACAACCTGTAACTGTTCCATTTAACAGCACAAATTTTCAGACGTCATTGCCTGTCCATAATATCATCATTCAAAGGGGTTTGGCACCAAACTCTAACAAAGTTCCCATTAATATCCAACCAAAGCCTATCCAGATGGGTCAGCAGACTGCTTACAATGTGAATAATTTGGGAATACAGCAACATCACGTACAGCAAGGGATTCCGTTTGGTTCTGCAAACTCACCTCAGAGTTCAGTAGTTGGTCCTCATATGTCTGTTAATATTGTTAATCAACAAAATACAAGAAAATCAGTTACACCTCAGACAGTTAGCAATGCTGGAGGTAGTATTGTTATCCATTCTCCTATGGGACAGCCTCATGCACCTCAAAACCAGTTTCTCATACCTACAAGTTTGTCTGTTAATTCTAATTCAGTTCATCATGTCCAGGCCATAAATGGACAACTTCTTCAGACTCAGCCTTCCCAGCTGGTTCCTAGCCAAGTGTCTGCCGAGCATGTAATGCTCAACAGGAACTCTACAAACATGCTGAGAGCCAACCAGTCGTATTCAGGACAGATGCTGAATAATCAGAACGCAGCCGTTCAGCTTGTTTCCGGCCAGACATTCACAACTCCTGGAAACCAAGTTATAGTAAATCATGGAACTTCACAAATTGTTGGTGGACAGGTGCCATTGCAGCAGGCATCGCCAACAGTGTTGCATTTGTCGCCCAGTCAAGCTAATGTTTCTCAAGGTAGATCGAGTTTTACTACGATGTCACCTGGGCAGTCTACAGTCTCAAATATGTCAGCTTCGAATCGATTTGCTGTTGCAAGTTCTTCTGGTTCAGTACATCCTAGCTTGGGACCATCAGTTCAGTCTGTTGCATCAGGAGGAAACTTCACTGGAGATCAGCTCACGCAGAACAGAAGTCAAGTTTCCGTCAGCGCATCCCATCGTCTTCCAGCATCCTCTTCCAAATCTATCAGCACCTTTAGTCACACATCAGTTGGAGTAACACAACAACAGTTCGCATTTGGTCAGGTATGAAAGCTGCTTGAGAATGTAGCCAAATAAATGCTTCTAAGCTATGCTGAAATCTCATTAGCAAAGTATTAAAGTTGGTATTAGTACAGAGAACGTTAATTTTGCTAGTTTGTATTGTTACAAATACTGTGGCACTGCTGAAAATTACTGTAACCCAGAGACATAATTTCACTTGGTATTTTCTGAGGTCTGTCACAGAGTACGTGAGTCTGTCGTTTTCATTAACTCAGAAGATTTTCTTGGTGATTTATAGTCATGTTTTCAGAACTGCTTAACAGGACCTGTTTCTGCTCCCATTTAAAGGAATGGACATTTTAAGATCACACAACTATGAACTTGCCTGAAAATCTTGCCATAGAGCTAGATGTAAAGGCTTGGTTACATTCCTAGCACTGACAAGTCCTCACTAAAGACTATGCATGTGTTTTCAAGGTTTGACCTATTCAAATTAGAGGTGAAAAGGTTTCTTGGGTTTCTCTTTGTTACTTACCATACAAAATGAATCTGCTAAAACTGAATTTTTTTGGCATTTTGCCCACTGTAGTTTTGTGTGTCTGGAGCAGTTAGAAGCTTTCAAATTCGAAGCAAAGACAAGGCAAGAGGTGTTTCTTAGAATCCTTAAGAGAAAATAGCTTTTAAAGCAGTTTGTAAAAGCATAACATTTAAAAAATATTTTCTCTGAGAAAATTTAGTAACGATTTAAAAAAAATTTCTGAACTTACTTTTAAAGTGAGAACTGGTCTTTATTTGTGCAGTTGAGGCAGCTGCGGTATATATTCAACTTGTTTGTCAGTTTCATAAGTGAACTTCCAAACTTGGCCAATATTTAACTCAGTGACTTGTCACACAGTTAGCAACAAGCTATTATTCCACTTCTGTCCTTTCTTTGCTTTTATTTTTTTTGCCTTGGTCATTATAATAACTGTCTCAAAATACATTGGCACCAATTATCTTAGATCTTTCTCTTTTCCCAAAGGTCTAATGGATTTTTTTAACCAAGACCAAAATGAGCAATAATGTGTCTTAAAAAATAATGTATATATAGAAAATAAGGGTGAACATGTTGCAGAACCACGTTTTAGCCTTTGCCAAAACTGCTAGCACAGGTTTTAACATTTTGTTTGCAGATGAGTGATTTGAGGCCTGCCTGACTTTTGCTTCGTGTGCCTGTATCTTCCTATTTGTAGGATATGTACTGGGTCAGTGAGTTTCAGCAGTTATAAAAGTATAATATTTCTTACTGCTGTAGAAGTTCATTTTGGTTTTGTGCTGAAATTTCAGACCTGAAAATTGGAACTACACAGAATAAATTCTGCTGTTTACTAGAATCTTTTTAGTTTGTTTGTACTTACATTTTAAGTGTTGTACTGTATTGCAATTAAACCATGTATCATTTAGTTGCTAAACAGTGGACAGTTTGTTCCACTGTGTATTTTTTTGTTAAGGAGACAGCTAATATAGTCATCTCGTAGTTTCGAGACTCTCAAAAGTTGAGCTTTCTGGGGACCACTTATAGTGGTAAATCATGGTTCTTCTAGAATATAACTGGTCTATATTTGTACTATTAGTGTAATTTCTATTCCTCTCTGGTTTACTTTATAAAATTCTTGAACTTAGGAGGAATTGAGATGTCTGAAATTTTACCACTTCTGAATTTGAGGTTGAAAAAGGATGCATAGAGCTGAATTTTAGTTGCCTTTTTTGCCTTTTTCCTCTGTTAAAGCTTTCAGTAAATATTTGACTGTGGTTTTTTATTTTTATTTTTTTTTAATGTATGTGGCACAGAAAAAAGCTATGAACCAGACATCACCGGTTTCTGCATCGAAGGCACAGGATAATTTGAGACAGCCTCAGCTAACAAGTCTTCTGAGCAACACACTATCAGGTCAACTAAGGTCTTTTTAAAATCATTTTCTTAATTTTCTCCAGCAACAGAAATTAGTTGTTCTTCAATATGTCAGACTTGCATTGATGGCTCATGCTGACAGGGTCCTAAAGGTTATCAAAATCTTATTTTTAGAAGAATGCAAACTAAATTTTTCAGTATTGAATGTGTGCTTTTATTTTTCCCAACCGTGGCGCTTCATTTTGTAGAGTGAAAAGTTGAATCTCTGCAATAAGCAATTATTTCTCCCCTCGATAAAATCCCAAATTGTACCTTCTTTCATTTTTCTTATTTTTTTTTCAGCTTAGGAAAATAGAAATAAATCATTTTCAAAATATGGACATCTGCTAAAAATTCTATGAAACTTCTAGACCCTCTCTTGTGATGGCTGCTTCAGATACAGAGGAAAGAAAAATAGCGATTACAAGGTTATGTGCAGGCTGTCATCACTCAATTTGTTTTTGAATGTGTCACTTTCCGTTAGAATAGGTAATGCATTGTTCATGGCAAAATACTGTGCTTTTCAAGCAGCACCATGCTACTAAAAGAACAAACCCAATATATTCAAAACCAGAAAAATGCAGTAACCTTCATGTTCTCTTTGTACATAAGTAACCCTTTTGGATAAGGTCCCATAACCTACCTGCTTTTTTTTCCCCTTGTCTACTGTTATGTGCAAGCTGTCCAGGCAGTTCTCTGCAATCAGCACAGTATGGGGTTTTTTTGGGAAAAAAAAAATTCTTATTTGTGTTGGTTGTAATATAGCATGGCTAATAAGCTGCTGTTTGAATTCCTGAGCAAGGCAATTGAAGGAAGACTGCCCATCGAGAAAATCTAGAAAAAAAATTATGATGCCTGCTGTTGAAACTCTTTCAGGAGCTCTAGGAAAATGGGGTGCATATGCTTGAGGGAGGGTTAGTGTTGAAAAGCTTGATAAAATGCACTGTATGATTTTCAGTAAATTGTTGGGACGCTACTTAGGGTACTTGAATTTCTTCTTACATTGCAGTACTAAGGCAGGAGATGATTTATATCTGAGGACTTTTGTAGTTGGCAGCACAAAGTATCAGTCCTGTTTCATTTTTATGAGCCAGTTTCTCCACAGGGTAGTTGCACTAATGCTTTTAAGCATGGGAGACATGTATCTGTCTCCTAAAAGCTAAAAACTCAAAGTGATCAGGATAAGTACATGAAATGACTCTGTTCTTGCTTAGGATGACAGCCTTTTAAACATACTTTTTATAGGACAGGACTCTGGAGGAAAAATCATACAGCAATCTCTAGGAACTGCACAGTCACAAGAAAAAGTACTAGGATCATCATCAGTTCAACAGAGTATACAGGTAAAGAATATTTTCAGTTATATGCTTCCCTTTCCCTTAAAATTTTAGTGAAGTTAGGAGTGTTTCAACTCCATATTGATAATTTGGAGTCCTTGCAGGGTTTTTTTGAGTATATGAAGTCACTCAAGCTTGTCAAATTCTACTTTGACATAATAAATGTTGAGTATTTTGCAAACTGATACTCTTGAATGCTGTTTTGAGATTTAATTCAGTAAGTAGAGTCTGACTGTACTGTTCCCTGAAGATAATTTCCTGTGACACAGCAGTTCTTCAGTGAGTTGGATATGTTAGACCTACTGTTACTACTTCTTACAAACTCGGCTATTCTCTAGCTGATTGCAAGGGAATGATTTTTGAGAAGTAGCAGAAAAATTCCATCTGGTCTTTGTTTTATTCTTTATTGCATTTTCTTCTTTCCCCAATGTCTTTTTTTTTTTTTACCACCAAAAGTTCTCTTATATATGGCAACTATGTAAAAAAAAATTAATACTTAGTCCAGGGTTTGGGGCTGGAAGAGGAGGCCAGCTTTTTTGGAGACAGAACGCAAGAACTTCTGTAGAGAGGAGATGTTATATTCGTGGACTGAGTAGCTGAGGGCAAGAAGTGAGGGTTTGAAGAGGGCTTTAAAGCGTGGGCTTCTTGTGGATGGAACTAAACTGTACAATCATGGAAGAAAACAAGGGAGGTTCTGATTTAAAACTTCTGTTCCTTGCTGTAAATATGTCAGTGTAGTGTGACATGAATTTTTTTCCCTGTCTTACGGATGTACAAGTAGAGCAGAAGATACAGTGGTGCTCAATTATGAGTTCAGCCTGGTCCTGTAATTGTTGGTCAGATGTTCATTCTCCTGTGGTGGTGAATACTTTTTATGCTCTGAAGCTAGAGGCTTTTTGGCCAGCAAGTACCATTACAGTGTGCCTGCTTCACTGTGCTCGTACTTTGCTAAGAAGGTTGCTCTGTACTGCGTGCTTTTTTGTTCCTTCTAATCATGTTGTAGTTCAAAAGAGCTTTCATGCAATCTTTTTTTAAAAGTAACTTCTGTTCTGTGACCAATTTCATTAGTAAGACTAGTTGACTAAAAAAACCCAACAACTTTGTATTAACCAAAGACTCTCTGATCCAGAACGTTGTCTCTGGGAGAATACTTGGATTGCAGCACTGCCTGTCATGCAGTACCAATATGAGGCTTTACCACTTCAGAGCACCTCACATCTTAGGACAGTGCTCCCTGAAAAACCTTGGCTTCATAAATGTCCAAGGAAAGGAGAAGATGATGTAGATCTACCTGATGGGTATATCTATAGCATCGACACTGAAACAGAATTCCTGGAACCACTTTCCGCCCCCACCCAGCCACTGTGGCTTTTGAAAATTTAAGTATGCAACCTTAGCCTGCTTTCCTGACAGATACTCTAATCCATCAAAATCAGGCAAGGTGACATCAGCTGAGAAATGCAGAGACAGTTCTTGAAAGCACATTTCTTTGGAAAAGTTTTTAGTTGTAACTTTCCTTTTTTTCACCTGCTAAATTTGATAACCAACCTTTTTCCTAGTGAAGCATGTGTATGCACTACAGTGGAATTTGCCTACAAACAACGTTTTAGACCTTTTGGTTTATGTAAAAGAAGTGACTTCCCTATTTCATTGGTACAGTGCCCTTTGAAAACAGAAGCTAGTTGAAAGTGTTTATACTTATGTGGTGCTTACATTTAGTATTGGTGATATACTTAATTGGCAGAAGTAAATGCTGAAACTTAGGCTTTCCAAAGGAGGGGATAGATTGTAATTTGTCTTTATTTTGAACTTAGGTGGATGGTCATTTAGTTGGACAGAAAAGACCTGCTGCTAAACAGTTAACTAAAGGAGCTTTGTAAGTCATTCTTCTTTTGTAATTTTGTTGCAGATACTTCCTCTAATCTTCATTTCTTTTTAGCTTTTGTCAATGTATAAACTTCTGTTAGAATACGTGTTCATTATATATCTTCAACCTTCCTTATAGTATTCTACAGCAATTACAGAAGGATCAAGTGCATGCCGTGACACCAGATAAAAGTCGGTTCAGATCATTAAATGATGCAGTTCAGAGACTCCTTTCATACCATGTGTGCCAGGGATCACTGCCAACAGAGGAAGACTTAAGAAAAGGTAGTTTTCTTTTTAAAAACTGGCAATACGTTTGTAATCCATGTATTGAGACAATTCTTTATGTAAGTTAGAGCAATGAGAAAGGGAACATTTTTAAATTTGTGGAGGTTACTGAATCTTCTGGTTACTGAAGAACAGTATTTGAAAGTATGCTCTTGTCTTTCTAGTGGACAGTGAATTTGAATCTGTAGCTACACAGCTTCTGAAGAGGACACAGGCTATGCTGAACAAATACAGATGTTTGCTTATAGAAGATGCAATGGTAAGGTCTATAAACCAGGTACATCTTATTTTTATAGGATGTGATTCAGTTTGTTGAAAAAAAATGTACAGGAAGGTGAGAGCTAGCATGAAAATTCATTTTGTTGATTTATTGCCTTATGAAGGTGATAAAGATATATACGAAGGTGATAAAGATACATACAAAGGTGATAAAGATATACAGTGGCCAACCTGCATTTTTAAGTGTATGCACACCTTAAAATCAGTGAAATGGGCTGAGTTTGTATTTCGCATACCACCTAAGTAAGGGTGCTGTCATGTATAGGTTCCAGAGGCATTTAAGACACATGAACTTCTGCTCTCTGCTTATATCTTGCTTTTGTGCTGAACAGACTGTGGTGCTCAGACAGGTGATTTCTGTATATTTCTGTGGGTGATAGAGCCTGAAAGAATGTTGAAAAGCTCCATTTAGAGGCCTCCAGCCATATTATAATTGGAGCTAAATTGTACTACAATTTAGGAATTCATTACTTCTACTTAGAGGCTAGTTGGAGCCTCACATTTTCATCAGAAATGCTTCTGATTTAAGTCTTTCACAGTCCCAGGTATGAGGTAGAAAAATAACTTGACAAAGTTACTTTAAGAATGTATTTTAAAAGGATCAAGAAGTGTCGTTGTGGCTTCAGACATGCTAGTTTTCAAGCCTGAAAAAGTTTTTAATTTGAGTATGATAGCAATTTAGATCACTCTGCTTTAGAGACAGGAATATGTAATACAAGTGTTAGAATTAATGTGGTTTTGGAATCTAGCAGTCCCATAAAAAAAGATGCTAACCGTCAAATATTTGCAAGTAATTGCAGGTGCAAAGGAGAGATGGAGGTTAAAATCTGTTCTTTTAGCATCTGGTATGTTGTTTGGTAAATCCCATTCAGTCGTTTTTAAGGGTTATTTCACCTAGTGTTCAGGTTTGGAACAAGTTGTCTGTGTTGTGACTTACTAGCCAGTGAAATTCTGTCTGTGATGGATGGAATGCCTTGAAGGCATTGTCAGCAAAATGCAACTCGGCACCAAGTAGTTAGAAGGGTGGGAGAGAAGTGCAGGGAAGAAAAAAGATGATGGAGTGGTCCTACTGCAAGATTTTTGCTGTTTTTCTCTCTAAAATTAGAGAAAGAGACTGTGTGATGTAAAAACTGTGGTGTACAGCAGTAAACATACTCAGTCCCCAAAAGGTACAGTTCTTACAACTGGAATAGTAATTCCTTGTTTTAAAATCTTTAACAAATAAAATGTGAATAATGTTTTATGGTTGATTTTCAGTAGTGGTTGGGGTCACAGTCAAGTTCATTGAAGATGCTGTGGAATTGTGAACATTCTCCACAAATACCTAATGAAAGACACTCTTTTCCTTTTCCTCCAGCGGATAAATCCCTCGGCAGAAATGGTTATGATTGATAGGATGTTTAACCAGGAAGAAAGGGCATCTCTGACCCGGGATAAGCGTCTTGCACTAGTGGATCCTGGTAAGTAGTAGGTAACGTCTGAATCTTAGAAAAGCCGCGTAAGTATGGAGTGTTTAAACATAGTTGTGGCCACAGTGAGGCACTGATTGCTAGTGATTCCAGTAATGGAAATACTTGCAGTTGCAAGTTAAATTTTAGTAAGTGCCAAATTTGGCAATCTAGAGACACTGTAAGCTTGAAGGCAGCTATTTGGGGAAAAAATATATTTGGCCTGTTTAGCAGAGAAATACTTCTGAGTTTCTTTTGATGATAGTCATGACCCCTGCATGGTCTCAATTCTAGTAGGGAAGAATCTGTGAGTTCGCTGGCTGTCAGAAAGAGTGCTGCTGTATGAAGCATGACTACTCTCGTTCATCTTAACAAAGTATTGCTTTTGGAATGTCATGGCCACTTAAATGGCAACACCAGACTGTTGTTGAACCTAACAACTAGAAACACATTATTTGTGTAAGGCAACAGTTACTATTTGTTTAATGTTCTGCATACTCTGAATATTTTAAAAGATATTCAGAGGATGCGTTGAAGAAGTTACTAAGTCTTCCAGATACCCTATTTGCATATTTAGAATGCTAGAAAGTGCCCTTAGTCTGGTTTTACAGTGAGCATACGTGCATAGTGTGCTGATTAATTTGGTGAAATCTCCTACACTGGACGCAGCAAAACACTTAAGCATGTGTGTGTCTCTTAACAGACATGAACCTATAGGCTGTGGATGTTATTTGAAATTTAATAGTCAGAAACTACATTGGAATGTCTGTTATTTTGATGTATAGGTAATTTAAGTAAAATGTTGTTAACCTTAATTTTCAGATGGTTATCAGGCTGATTTTTGTTGTTCTGCCAAACAATTTGATAAAACAGCTGAAGAAGCACAGTCCAGCAAAAGTGACCATCAGTCTAGTAAAACATTACCTTCTCGAAGTCAGACTACCAAAACCCAAGCTAGAGACCGACCAAAATCCAGCTCAGCAGAGTCCACAAATCACAGTAAACTTCCTCTAGTGCCTAACAGCATTCTGACACCACAAGAAGGAATAGCTTTGGCTAAAAAATCGGAGAGCCTCACTAAAGCTTTAAAGTTTGAAAAAGCTAATTGTTCTTCTGAGAGCCAGTGCGCGGCCCTTTCTGAAGAAAAGATGGCTGGGAAAGATCTTGCCAAGTCCACTGAGAATTCTTCGAGTTCTGAAGACTTGTCAAAAACTGTGTCACGAGGCGGTCATGGAACACACAATAAAGTATCAAGGAACACAGGTCAATCTTTCTCAAAGGTAACGTGTAATAATTCCCTCCAAGACAAAACTCTGAGGAGCTCTCCAAAGAATGAGGTTTTACATCCTGATAACAGGAAAGGCTCTGGTGAACCCCAGCAAGACTTACTGCTCAGTAAGAGTTTAGAAACTACGTTTAAAAACATCTTGGAACTTAAAAAAGCTGGGAGACAGCCACAAAATGAGGCGACAAGTAGCGGCTCAGTTGAATTAGAATTTCCTAATTTTTCACCTATTGCTTCACAGGAAAACTGCCTGGAAAAATTTATTCCAGACCACAGTGAAGGTGTTATAGAAACTGACTCTATTTTAGAAGCAGCTGTAAATAGTATCTTAGAGTGTTAATAGTTACAGTACCATGGACAAGTTATGTTTCTCTTAGCAGAAGCAAATGTGAATGACACCACAAGTACAGCCTGACATGCATTTAAGGTTAACCTTTCTAAACTAGATTCTGTTCTGTGTTTGAGAGCAATACTCATTGTGGTTACAGTGAGATATCCAAGTAAAGTTAATCCTTGTTAGAATGCAGTCTGTTAGGGCCTTACTATTTCAAGTATTATTATGATAGTGCTTTTGATAATTGTGCAGTACTGCAACATAACAAGGTTGCAGGTCGTTAGGCCCTATGTAATACGGTAATATACTGACAATCACAGTCATTTGAAAGGATATATTTATTAAGAAAATGTTTTTAAAAAGTGATGGAAGCAACAATTTTCCCCTACCCTTCTCTTCCACAAATCATCAAATGTTTAGTTTTTCTGGAAAACCCACTGTACCTCTATTCAGAAGTGGTTATTTGCTTTGTCAATGAATCTGTGTTCTAGGATTCTTAAGTTGGAAGGATATCATCAGTGTGTTTACAAGGCATCATAATTTCAACTTAAAGTGCTTTTCTATTGCTTTCTGAGCAGAAACTAGTACTTGACGATATATTTGTAGTGGATAACTTTAGTCCGTGGGATGATATTATATGATCTTAGTCACAGTGGCATGATATGAAGTAATAAATGCTTGACTAAGGAAGGTAGAATGGAAGCCAGTAAATGGCAAAGTGTACAGGATGAGGCCATGATAGAGCCATGAATTTATATATATAATACATATATATGTTAACTCTTGAAGAAAAGATTTTGCATTTTATAATTGGATGTAGTCAGCCTTGAGTCTTTCTGAAGTGGTATAAATGTTTTTTTTATTTGTTGTTTGGTTTTTTTTTTAGACCAAGTGTCAAAAGCACTTTTATTTGAAAACTGTTATGGTATTTGTAGCTTATATTTTAAGAGGACATTAGCCTTACTCTGATTAAATTTAAAGGCCAGTGTTTATTTTTGATTTTTTTTTTGCTTTTTGCTGTCAGAGAATGTTAAATCATCCACCGTAGCAGTCACAATTATCAAGATATGTACAGACCAAAGTCGATCAGCAACCCCATTGTTTAAACATATCGAAAAGTGTATAATTATTAATTCATATTGTAGAGCCAAGTGAAACCATTGCATGGTTTACATTTGGCTTGCTGTCATGTTGTTAAGATAGAATCTTATTATTTTATTTATTTATTTTAATCTATGACATCTGTTTTTTTGGTGTTTTGGGGTTTTTTTGGTTTTGTTTTTTTGTTTTGGTTTTTTTTTCTTTTTTTTTTTTTTGCTGCCCATGCTGCTTTTTCCTAGTTTACTTTGGTCATGAGTGCTTTTGTGCACATAAGTACGCTGACATTTGTCACGTGCGTGTAGTACATATGTCTGCTCAGGAGGATATAGCTTTTGTGGTTTCTAAGGTGTGCTCATGTATCTCCCCCAGACCTTCTCCACAATTTCTTAGAAAGATTACCAGCCATTCTCCAGACTTGCTGATTACAATTTTCATAAGAGAGGCTCATTGTGACGAGCTGTGGTTGTCAGTCAGATTGCCAGGAAAGAAAACAGAAGGCTTTGCTGTCATGTAATTCAGTCCATCTGAATAGTGCAAAAGAAAGCAGAATTAGATCCTTGTGACAGAAGATTATTACAGTGCAACTCAGTGTTGAGCTACAGTCCACTGTCTGACCACTAAAGGAAACCAAATCCAGAAAGCAATGTGAGAAAGATGAACTTACTTAAAATTCATTTCCCCTTCAACATGAATGGAAATACTGGTTTTGTATGTTACTGATTGCCATTTAAAAAAATTGTGCCAATTTTAAAGTACATGTTTGTAAAAACCCAACATTCCCAAGTGTTGTATAAAATATTCAAGGTAATAATAAGTATTGCCAGTTTTAAATTTTTAGTTAGGTGTCCATAGAATAGACTCTCCGGTGGTTAGTTGTTTTCTTATTGGCAAAACTGACAATATAGTCTTCACCTATTGCCTTTTTAGATCTAATAATGTGCTCATGGCTGTGTATCCTGATGCGTATTTTATTTTATAATTTTTGAAATTTAACCATTCTAAACTATCTAGGAAGGAAAACAATAAGTTACACAGCTGTATGTTAACTAGTTAAATTTTCTTTTATAGGGAAAAAAGTAAAGTTGCACATTCATTGATCCACTTGCTTTTTGTACCGCCTACAAAATAGGTATGGGGTTTCCAGCCTCTCTACAGCAAATAACATAATGAAGTATCAGGCTATGTGTCTTCTATTGGATCTCATTTGGGGATGGGGGACAATGGCATATGAAAAATGGCAAATTACAGAAAGTAATCGTGGTTGATTTGGTCAGACACATTTCTCTGAACTGTTTATGAGAGGAACCCATTGAACAATCCTAGCAAGATTAATCTTAGATTGTTAATGTTCTGTTGTTCACTCCTTTGAATTCAATTCTAAAGGAATTCTGGTACGTGGTGAAGCAGTAAATGAAAGAATTGTATTTTTGTTGTGCTTAAAAAAAAAGTTATGAATTTATTAATCGTATGGGCTCAAGTCCAGCAAAGTATTGTGAATGTGCATGACTTTAAACATGTTTTCATTATTTTGCTGGATCAGCATTGTGATTTCAATGTTATTTAATACTGCCTAATATTAAAACAAATTTTAAACTGGCAATTAAGAAAACTATGTTCGTTTTGAAGATTTTAGTATAATTTATCTGTTAGATTAGGGAGGCCTTACAGACTGACTTCACTTAAAGAGGATGTGTCACTTATTGTCAGTGTGGTATGGACTTTATTTGCTTAAATACCTTCATTTGTAAAGTATGTCTCACTTGAAATTGCTTTGTATACATTTTGTAAAAATATTTATAAAATGTTTTGTAAAAAAAAAAGTATAAAAAATTGCAGTTTATTTTGTTATGTTGGATAAATACTGTTAAAAGACACAAGTCAGTAAATATATTGTTAATCCATGGATAGGAAATGTTTAGTTGGAGATTACAAATTGAAACAACCATTGCAATACAGCCAAAGATTTGGGAAAAAATGTCTATCTGTGATTGTCTTGATTTAACCAAGCTGAGTATTTTACATTGCCAAAAGAGGATTGTTCTCAGTTTTAAGTAATATGGTTGCAAAATACTCTTACTCCTGTGCTTTTTATAATGCAGCCGTGTTATAAAATACTTACTAGGCTAGCTTTTGATACGCTTTATGGATCTTTCTGAACATACGCTGTTAGGACTTGGTTTGTGTGGCATTGTAACTGCATAGAGTAATGTTGGTCTCCAGATAACAAGATTGCCAGCGGTCCAGCCCTGTTGCCATGGTGAGGTTGATGAGGCACGCTCTCCTTCTCCAGCATGTTTTCACGAGGTGGAGGCATCATCTTCCTGATACATTGGGGAGGTGGAAGAGAAGAGAGGGTTTTTGTTACTCAGCTGCCACCTCACTCGTGCCGCGGATTTCTGAGTTGTGCCAACTGTATTTGGTCGTAGGTACCTGTGTTTGCCGTATTTCCCATTCCTTCCTTTTGGCTGTGAGAAGATACTACGATTGCTGGTGATGTAATGCTGCTCCCTACTTTCAGAGGGGTGATGAACCTTTTCTTACTGTGAGCTTTTCCAAAAGTACACTGAGATTCTGATCTAGTAAAGCTCTTGCCCTTGGAACTTCAGCACTTTATTTTTGGAGGCTGTGAAAACGAAGGACTGGTGAAGTGCGCTCCCTCTCAACTTGGAGTAGGGCCTGCAGTGTTGAAAGGTAGCAGTCTTTATGGTTAGTATTCATTATTTTGTCAGTGAGAGAAAATAAACATGCATTTTGAATGCTTCCCACATGGATTCAGACAGTAACAATGTGAATGGAGCCAGCTGCGTATTATTTTAATCTCTGTTTGGGTTAGGATGGCTAAGCATCTTGGGTTTTTTTTCACTTTATCATATTGCTGTAGAATTACCAGGCAAACTTTCTCAGTTGGGAAACATTCGCTGTACAGTTCACCATGCAGCTGTCTTCACCTTAGAGTATCTTTTCATTACAAGAACATGGCGTATTTTTTTAATTGCCTTTCAATAGCATTTTTATGGTGGGGTTTGTTACATTTATTCCAGCACTCAGGGCAGAATTCCTGAAGGTGTGGGCATGCATGTTAACGCGTAGCTTATTTAAGAAAGTCAGAACACCTTTCATTTTGAGGATCTGTACAATGAAAAAAAAAAGCCAGAATAAGCTTGGCACAAGGAAAGGTATGTAAGTAATTTTAAACTTTAGAGAAATTCCTCTGTCCTTTGGGAAGTGTTTTCTTTATAAGCCTTCAAATTTTCCCTTTAGAATTGTACACCCTTCTTCTTGGAGTTTTCACAGTGACGTCTTTGTCAGACAGCTTCAAGAAATGCAAGGAGTTGTCTTTGTGCCTCGGGGGTCACCTGTCGCTTTGGTTCAAGAAAGTCATTGCAGAAAATGAGCAAGTTCAGGTGAAGATCTGAGCAGCAGCAGCTCTGATGCACAGATACAACACCCTGTACACAGACCTCACATTGCGGTAGTGCTGGGTATACTGAAGTATTTGTTCATGATTTATGGATTGGCATTTGTCTTTCTGTGCTACTTGTTGTGCAGCTTGTGCTGGAAATGGAAAAAATGGTAACCATCGTAACTTGTTGCAGTGGGTAAACATCAAGCAAACTGGAGCAAGCTTGCTGTACTGGGGAAGAAAGAGATGAAAAAACACAAAGTGTCCGGCTGAACCAGTATTTTTGGTGTAAACCCAAAAACCTCTGAAGTTGCCCTGTTGTGTGCTGAGCATAAAACCCTGCTTTATTTCTTTCTAGGCTTGATACCGTACAGTTTTGTGGGGAAAAGTGTTAAACAAATGGAGGAAGAAGCTAAATCAGAATTTAAGGCTCTTCTGTACTATACTCTGCTTGGCCTCAAACACTGGCTTTTCTTCAGGTGGATGCCATTGTTTTTGTGGATATCGGCCTTCTGGAATGCAGAGATCAGTCTTCATTGCTGCTTTTGCACTGCAGGGTTTTTTGGAGGAAAAAAACCTAGAACCATTTAGGTTGGAAAAGACCCTTAAGGTCATCAAGACCAACCGTTAACCTAACCCTGTCAAGCCAAATGAGGTGCTCTCATTTGAGGTAAATTGTTGCACCTATATTAATGCAACGACAGTGATTTTAGATTTCGGTGCTTTGAGGAGGAAGCAAGGTTAGTCCACGCTGAAACACCTTAATGAAGCTCAACAAGGGCAGGTGTCGAGTGCCGTGCCTAGGGAGGTTGAACCCCATGCACCAGTACAGGCTGGGGGCTGGCCTGGGAGTCCTGGTGGATGACAAGCTGACCATGAGCCAGCAGTGTG